GGGAGTACCCGCACCCAGTGGAAGGGGGTTGCTGGAAGGCCCCCCTCCCCGTTTTGAAGATGAGAGAGGGGGAGGGCGAGAAGCACATGCTACAGCTGTGGAAAGATCCACTCGTGCCAGCGCTTCAGCAAGCGCAAGATTTCCGTCGGAGTACATCGGACTGAGGATGGCAAGGGAATCCCCCCATTTCCTGGCCATCGAGAATTTCCTAGACCCAGGGAATCCGAGCCCCTTTCTCGCTACAAGCAAACTCGGGGTACCGGAGCGGCAGGAGATGAAATTTACCCCACCCTTGGGTCCATCGCTCACCAGAGGTCTTTTGGTTAGTTTGAGGGTTGGGTACCCCCCCGGGCGGGGGGTGGGGTGGGCACGTTCCTAACCATTGAGCAGTGCCCACCCTAAACAAAGGGGGCGCTATAAGCCGGAGTTTGGGGCAGCTGGAGCCCTCCTCCCTGCCAGGCAAGCTGCACTTCCAGCTACAAAGTTTCACTAGGCTGTGCACCAGGACCTTCGCCCGGGAGCCGCTCTGGGTGCCCTCCGGAATGTACCCCCTCTGAGCAACCGGGTGGCCTGGAGCCTTAAAGCCGCCCACCCTCGGGGATACCGCCCGCTGAATGCTGGGGACCTCCCTTGGTCCGCCGCAGCCTCCGCCAAAGCTGTCCGCCTGAGCGCGCGGCTCCCAGAACAGGCCTCCTTTCCTCTGTGCCCTTTTGTTTGCTTGACCCCTGGCCCCCGAAACTCGCGACTAATAGAAGGGAAGCTCCATTAGCATTTAGAATGAAAAGCGCAGACTTTCTTAATTCCTCCGGGCATTCATGCATTCGTTCCGGACCTTGTGCGTTTCCTACGCGGCGTGTAAAATTTGTGTTTGAGGAGTGGAGGCCATCGGAGCTGAAAGATGGCTATTTTCTTTTCCTGTATACTCACTGACACCACCCCCCCCCCCAAATTCGGGCCATATTCGTTCCTCAAGTGTTCTTTCTTCGGTCTCCCTGACTTCCCAAGCAGGGAACCAACAGTGAATGTAAAAAAAAATCAATTTCTGGGCTGCGATAGGCCATGGGGCTTTTTAGCAACAGATCGAGTACCACAAAAGGGCTGTGAGCTCACTGGGTGACGGCAACCTTCCCTTAGCTACCCCACGGCAATGTGATGCTCCCTGCCCAAGGATTCCGTGAGCCCTAAACACTTTCACTTAATCTTATGATAATTCTTTGTAATTAACTAGCATTTCTACAGGTCCTCCGCCCCCACCCCTTTCATCCAACCTTAGGAAAGATGACCCAACCTACTCTTACCACAATCTTTGTCCCCTCTCTGGGTGCCTGCAGAGCCCACTGCGGGAGAGCGCAGCCCGACAAACCTGGGCGCTGAGCCTGGATCCTCAGCAGAGCTGGGCAGGGCAGCCGCTGCTTCGCCTATCCCGACGTCCCCCCCTCCTACACTCTCAGCCTCCGCTGGAGAGACCCCCAGCCCCACCATTCAGCGCGCAAGATACCCTCCAGGTAGGTCTGAAGCCCTTATTCCTCCTGGTCAAGGGAAATGGTGGAGAAACCAGCTCCCAGCAGGTAGTCTGGTCAACTTGCCCAGTACCAACACAAGGCTGCTGGCCCCGGATTTCACAGCACAGGTGGCTCCCTGACACGAAGCTTCTCTGCATACCACACCCTGTTGCTACCAAGCAGAGCAATTGAGATTACATGAAACATTTTTCAAAATTATGTTTCCTAAGAAGAAAAGCAAATACTCCAAAGAGATTAGGATAGTTTGTTTTTAATGGCTTTATTTTTGTTCTTTCATATACAACATTTTCATTTAAGGAATCACCAGGAGAGAAAGGGATCATTTTTATTGGTCTAACACCCAAATCTTTTGTGGTGCAGGAGTTTGGATGACTGAGGCCCAGAGACAAGGAAAAAAACCCATGGGAACTAAAGACAGACATGTGAATGTAAGGGCCTCAGACTTGGTTTGTACAAATTTTCTAAAGAGATAGGAAGAATCAGGCCTGTGTAGGCACCAAAAAAACAGAGAAACACTCACCCTCGTGCTGGAGACTTCAGAAAGACAAAGAGCAATAGGGAGAGGACAGCAAGGAAGAATGACAGGTGACTCTAAGGGGAAGTTCTAGGGATACAAAGAGAGGGGAAAGATGGAAAGACCGGGCCATGTTCTTTCTCTAAAATGACCAACTTTCATTCCAGCCTAAGAAGTAGACACCAAGATAAATCATCCTTAGCTTCAAGCTACCTCATAAGGCCTCCCTTGAAAAGAAGGCAGACTTGAACTGGTTCCTCCTCATGGCTGCTTCTTCCAACAGGCCCTCACCACCTTTTTTTTCAAGTCAAGATTTCATCCCATACAGGCATGACTCAATCAGATTTGGAAATGTGGGTAAGAGAAAGATGTCAAAGGAAAGGTGAAGCATTCGATTCTCTGTTAGTCACACCTTCACACCACACCCTCCAAGAAGTTAAGCACCTGGGTTTCCTTTGACTCGGAAAAACCAACCACCAGAAACTCCCCGTGTTACCACTTTGATCTAGTCATACAAAAGGAAAATTATTAGAAAAATCATCCACTAGAGCCAGTAACTCTCAGGGCCTTCTCACCCACCTCAACCTCTGTGAATATAGCAAGCGCCTCAGATAGATACCAGGGGCTTTGAGGGTTCAGCCGAGGTACACTGGCAGAGAAACTGCATCTGCTTTGAAATTGCTCTCTTCTTCTCCTCCCATCATGAGAAAATACCTAGACTAACTGTTAGAAGAACTGTTAACTGTTGTTATAAAATGGCTTTGATCTTACTAGATCAGAATGCTGTTGTTAGTCAGAGTTGGGAAGTGTATATGTATATACATCCGAGCACACAGTATAGCACAGAGCAAGCAGGTTTGGTGGGTGTGCTGTGTTGCAGCTGATCATCTTCTTTGCAGATGGCACCAACTCCCCCGAGTCCATTTCCTGGGCCTACATGCCCACCTCATCACTTAAGCTGGCTGAAGTCATCAGTAGGGGTCCAGTTTGTGCAGGCTGCTAATCCTGTTTGGAGGAGTGGGTGGGAAGCAGGGACCACAACTTGTGTGGGCAGCCTTAGTTGGCACTCATAAAATGTTAGCATGTCACTGCCTCCCTTGTCCCACACAGGACATCTTTCTCACTAACTCATGGGTTTACAAATTAATGTGTGTATGTCTTAAGAGACCAATGGCCTCCTTCTACCCAAATCAACTAACAAGGCATTCCCTTCCTTTCCCTTAACTCTGCCTATGGCTAGGGAGACCACTCCAGTTGGTTTTTAGTACTTAAACTATTTTTTTTTTTAAATTCTCTAGGCTTATCAGGGATAATGTTTGTATCCAGTCTGGTGAACAGAGCAAGGGAGAGTGTAGTCGCCCCCAGGAGCTCAGGTTCTCCCCGCACCCCTTACCCCTTTGTCAGTCAGGGACTCAGCTGTCTTCCTACCAAGGAGGAGGAAAGTAAGCATGGGGCACTCTGTCTTTGCCAGCAGCGGGGAGAGGATGCCACTTCCTCTGTTTCCTGATTCAAGAGCAGTGAATCCAGCTGGCAAAAGAGTGTCGACTGACTTCTGGGCCCCTGTCTCTGTCCCTGCAGATATGCCCTGCGTGCAAGCCCAATATAGCCCTTCGCCTCCAGGGTCCACTTACGCCACGCAGACGTATGGCTCGGAATACACCACAGAAATCATGAACCCCGACTACGCCAAGTTGACCATGGACCTCGGTAGCACAGGGATCATGGCCACCGCCACGACGTCCCTGCCCAGCTTCAGTACCTTCATGGAGGGCTACCCCAGCAGCTGCGAACTCAAGCCCTCCTGCCTGTACCAAATGCCACCTTCCGGGCCGCGGCCTTTGATCAAGATGGAAGAGGGCCGTGAGCATGGTTACCACCACCACCACCATCACCACCACCATCACCACCACCATCACCAGCAGCAGCAACAACAGCCGTCCATTCCTCCTCCCTCTGGCCCCGAGGACGACGTAGTGCCCAGTACTTCCATGTACTTCAAGCAGTCTCCGCCGTCCACGCCGACCACTCCAGGCTTCCCCCCGCAGGCGGGGGCGCTGTGGGACGAGGAGCTGCCCTCGGCGCCTGGCTGCATCGCACCCGGCCAGCTGCTGGACCCGCAGATGAAGGCGGTGCCCCCAATGGCTGCCGCGCGCTTCCCTCCGATCTTCCACTTCAAGCCCTCGCC